CACAATCCACCACCCATTGCATTTTGATGTATTTTGATTGGCTTAGACATTTCGGTAATTTGACGCTCAAATATACGGAATGGTCATGCGATTTCGTATATTTGAGCCAAATTCCGAGCGGAATTTGGCCTTCACGAAGTTCGTAGCTGTGAGTAACCCGAAGTTTGATTTCGGTAATTTCAAATTACGGGTTTGCTAAAAGTCTCTATTATTACCAGTGCCTTGTCATGGTGGAACAGACAGTTGGCAGGACAAAGGTAGTTTTGGTATTGTCAAATCGATTCGAAACTGGAGCCTTAGGGGAATCGATTAAAGAACCACTTGAGCCAATCAAATCATGTTATGTGAAATTTCTGCCAATCCAAACGTTTGACCCCTCGGCATTGGGGTCAAACGTTTGGATATAATACCATTCGAATCCATTTGATCCTATTTAATCTTGTACACACTATACTATATAACGAATAATATATACATGGTTGGGCAAAACCATATATATATATTATTCGTTGTATAGTATAGTGTGTACAAGATTAAATAGGATAATATTTACATGGTTGGGCAAAACCATATACATATTATTCGTTGTATAGTATAGTGTGTACAAGATTAAATAGGATCAAATGGATTCGAATGCTACAGCTGTCGTCCAGTCTATGTATTGCTGGGACAGCTACGGCGTTCGGGGTAATTGACATTCCAATGAGAACTCTCGTCATAGCCAGTACCCATACATTCGTGGTGGGGGGGGGAGTCTGTGTAAAGACAAAAGTACGTGAACCAAATTCACTGCACTGTATAGTGCTTTTTCTTAGGTATACTGGACGTCGCAAATCAGCGACACATGATCTGACGGAAACACTGTCGAGGGAAGCGACTGCTCGACTGCTACTTGTTCGTGGGTGAACAGCGGAAATGTTTGGACGACATTGAACAAGTGCGGGTCGACCAATATGTAGTCTAACGTGTCCTGGAACGTAAACTCGTGGTTCTTGAGATACGTGGTGAACTCGGTCTCGATGGCGCGGGTCAGCGTGAGGCCATGGGTAAACACTATCGCTGCCTCGTCCTCGTTCACGGCAGTGGTTGATGTGATTCCGTCGCTTTCATCTACAGTCGCCCCCTCCGCCCTCCACCGGAATGCCCTGGCGAGTTTCACATCCTCGTGTTCGCTGCCCACTTGACCGTCTAACAAGAACGAGATAGACGACGTTGTCGGCCTCGCGTTCAAGTCCCCCGCCACGATCACGCGCACCTTCGTCGCCTCGGCATTCGTCCATTTGGCGACTTTGGCTTGAATTGCCGCCGTAAACAGCACGGTTTGCACGAGGCGCACAATGTTGGCGTCTGCACGATAGAACATGTGGGTGTTGGCCACGAGCACGACGTGCCCTTGTCGCTTATCCCGCAGCGTCACAAGCTGCCCGATCGATGGCACTTGGCGGGTGGCCGTGGCGACTTGGGGGTGCCGGCGGAGGAAGGTGGCGACGGGGGAGGCGGGGGGCAGCAGGTCCACGGCGGCGCCGAACGCCACCGAGTCGGACTCAACCACGTCGAATGTGTCGGTTCGCACGAAGATCGCACACCCTTCGGGGGTCGACCCTACTTTGCCAGCGTACAGCCCAACGTACCCCCGGAGCATTGGCTCAAAGTACGTCTGGCAAATGGTTTCGCCCATCTCTTGCATGCACACGACATGCGGCTGGCTTTCGAGGATTTCTAATGCCACCAGCGGCATGCGATAAGCTTCTTGAAGTACACCGGGAGCGGCATACGGGTACATGCGGTTGAAGTCGCGGTCCGCGCGCGCGTACTTTGCGTACAGGATGTTGTACGTCATGAGTCGAACGATGTGGTCGGAAGGGGTCGTCCGGCCCAAGACCTGCCGAGAGTGAAACACGGATCGGTCAGGGCACGCTTGGACTGCGGCTGTGTGCACAATGATGGCGGAAGCAGGAGGACTGGCATTGGTGGATGCGGTGGCAGGTGGAGGAGGGATGCATGTGATGGTCAATGCGTGGCCAACGTCACAAAGAGATGGGGTGAAAACATGGTTGGAGCCAACAAGCACTTCACCACGATGCCAGCGCCAAGTGCATTGCTCTGGAGTGCAAAAGTCGGCGTCCACAGATGGAACGATCGGAATGGAGTTGAAATGAAGGGCCACGACGGCGACCGAGTTCACGCGGGGCTTGTTGTGCACGATATGGTAAGTGTCCGAGTTGATATCTAAGTAGGACGCCGCCAGGAAGGTGTCGAGTACACGCAACGTGGTTGGAAGCACGACTTGGTCGGCGGATTTGAATTGGATCACCGCGGCGGCTTTCGACACGGCCGTCGCCGAAGGTTTGGGTTGCTTGGTAGACGACTTGAAGCCACGTTTCTTCTGCATGGGATTGACGAGATGCTCGATGCGTACGAGCACACGACTCAGCTCTTCGTCCACCTGTCGCACCAATTGCCGGTCGATGCCGTTCAAAGAGAACTTCAGGGTAACGGAGTCTGTGCCGGGGTGGTGATGCACATGAGCAACCAAGGACGACGTTTTCATCGTGCGCGACGTTGATGGATGAAGAATGGAGGACACAGGCGCCAGGAATCGGCTCAAAATGTGTCGATAGAGGGCAATAATGATGGTCGGCGAAACCTGCTCTGAAAATGTCCTGGAACGCGCTATTGGTATGGTTGATGATGGATAAAATCCGGATAATATGACAGACTACTACCGGATGTCGTATGAAGGTGGTGGCGACGTACTGTATACATACAGTACTGTAGTGCCAACAACATGCCGGCGCAGTACTATTAATAGTACAGTCCTGATGTAAATTGACATTTCTCAAAAATTATTTCGATTTGAAGCTCGCTGTTTTGATATGATACTTTATTTAAGTTTCGAAACACATTGTTGGTGACAAAACTAAAAATTCGAAGTACAGTACTATTTTTGAAAATTACAAAAATCCATTTTTCAGGGTGATGCAAACTACTGTACCTAGACGCACTTTTTCCAGAGCAGTTAATTATCAATTGCATTATTGTGATTTGCACTTGTTTTGTCGTCGGTTTTACGTGTATGTATTCATTGCGCTAACGAAAACTAAAAGGAATTAGAAAAACACTCGCCAACGACCTTCAAAGTGGTGCCAGCGAACACACGGAAAAGCGTCCGCTTTTCGTATGCGACGTATGAGGGCCGCTGCTCGAAGTCCTTGCTGCTTAACGATGAAGGATTTGCCCATCTGTTCCTTGTTCTTACTTAGAATTTAATGTGTCTATCAAAGTCGACAGAAGCGATAAGGTACGTTTCCAAATCATGCATGTTGTGGAGTACTACGTACTAATTAACAACGGGTACACGGTACTAGGTTTGATCACATGTCCTGGGAGGTGATGCGATTGGCAATACATTTTTTTAAACGAAAACACAGTTGAGGACAGTGTACTTTTAATTACACTGTGATCATATATATTATATTATATATGATTCACAGTCAATGTAGATATAGGAACCACCAGTCGTGATCCGCGCCATTGCTATTCAAACCAATTTAAGCCAAGTGTTTGCTGCTTCTTGGCGCTTGGAATCAATTTTGCATGCAACACGCAAGTCACTGCTGGGAATGTATTTCCTGGATCCAAGCAAAAAGTATATCACATCCTTGTGATTACAAGTTATTCACATATCATTTAACTTTTAGGATCGGTTTGGGAAAGCCCTCCAGTACGTGGGTCGGGTGGTGGCGGGGATTTTCGTCAACAGTCACGGTTTGCAGTGTTGCCTCCGCACTTCCCAGCCAATAGCGACCCTTTGTTGGAGCCAAGGTTGACAGTCATGTTTCTGGGGCTGTATGAGAAGGCCACATTGCGTCCTTTGCTAAAAATGGCGTTGGCGAGCATGGTCTACCATTTTGTGTATTTAAACACCCTGCTTCCACCACAGTATACGTTGAAATCAACAGCATGTTCACAGTTGAAAGGGGAGGGTTCTGACTCGAACCTAACTAGGCTTCCTGGTGTCGATGCCAAGGACCTGAGGAAACCTGGGACTGAACCAGCGACCATCGGTGTGTTCTTATCATACTTAGATCAGGTGTAAAGTGATCTATAAGTAGACGCGCTCCCAACTGAGCCAAAAGAACTGGTCAATCTGGACATGAGATTGTACTACGAGAATGTGTACTCTCGACTTTCACAAACCCAGGATGTTGGAGAATTTGCAACGCTTCCTGATTTTCCTGGCTACATTTCAGTCATTGACTGAAGTTCTTTACTGCACTTTTCACTATGAGAGATATCAGATTGACATGGGGTTTTGTATAGGAGATGCGAAATTTAATGGCGAATTTCACAGCCAACTGTATAGTTTGATTGCTTCAAAACTGAATACAGAGAACCGAGTAGGAACTCGCGCACAGTGGTAACGACACTATTTTTTTTCCATGGAGCATTCATAAATTCCGACGTCAACCAATAGTATTTTTTTCATATTTTATATTATAACCAATAATATGCTTATAAAAAGTTTGTAAATTGTATGATTGGATATAATAAAATTAATCAGATTGATCTGATTGCAAAATTATAATTCGTACTCGGAATCACAACTAGCGCATTCGCATACAATTCCCCATATATTTCAAAATACCACTGTGCGCGAGTTCCTACTCGGTTCTCTGTACCCTTTGAATAGTTTCCTGTGCGATGGCATATTAGCACCCACATTTCATCTTCCAACTATATAACTTGTAACAATACATAACGTTTGGTATTAACTTATACAGGTTTTCGGACTACTATGAATCACTATTTTATTTATACACTGTCAATCATAAATATAGACGGCGTTCGAATCATAAGAGTGCCAACCAACATGACGTTCATAAGATTGATAACAAGACAGGACGTTCCTCATGACTCAATTCAATGGATCATACAACCGGTGCTTGCATGGACTTTGTGAAGATGGCGAGAGCTCGGACTCTCAGTCGCGACGAGCGCCTCGTTATCCGGCTGCTTGCATTTTACATGGGCCGCGGCGATAAAATGCGGCCAAGACGGTGGCCGAAGCTCGGGTCGGAACATCTCCATTGTACATGGTGTATGGCGCGAGTACTCTGATTTTGGCACTGTCACTGCTGCCACTCCTGCTGCCAACCGCTCGTCGCATCAAACAAGGATCCCACACAAAACAGCAAACATCGAACTGGTGCAACAGTTCGTACGCGGACGACGTGCGACACGCTTACGTACCACGGCTGTTGATGTGATGCCATACCATAACGACTCGGACAAATATTTGCTGGATACGTGCTTCGGACACGCACTTAACCGAATTTACGCATTAAATGCACAAAGTTGTACCACAGGCCTTGTCCGGGTAGCGGCACGGCCTGCGGCCTACCTGCCGCTTTTCCCGACAAGAGGAATCGATTGGACATTCGGTGAAGTGCACGATTGGGGCTCACTCCTCGCCAAGGCACCGCCTGCACAAAATTATACACACGACCTCCGCTACGCTGCGGTGTGCGCAATTTTGTAGGCGAATGCTCTGTCGTCCCTCGCTACTGTAAAGCTGATCGTTCTTATGCGGGTTAATACAATACACAAGTATGTCCGAGCATATTCCGTTCGGACACTTTCATTCGGACAAAATATGTTCCCCTTAAGTCCAATACAAATGCCAAGTATGTCCGACTGAAATTGTCCGAACGTGTCCGCAAAGTGATCATATTCACCCATATCTCAACGAAATGGTAATTTTGGCAGTCATAATGGACAACAAGAACGAAACTCTGACTGCAACCAGGGCTGTCCAACGCTTCCTTAAGCGCCGCGGATACAGGGAAACAAGCCAAGCTCGTCGACATACCAGTTGTCAAAGGCCAACGTACTGGCACGCGACACCTACGTCCAACTGACACAACCGCTCATCACCGCCACCAACAAGCCGAACATTGTGTACATGGACGAATCGTTCATCCACCAACACTACAAACGCCACCACGACAGTTTGTACGACACGTCTGATTCGGCCGACGTCCAAACCAACGAGAAGTACAAGGGTAGTAGGTATTGTTTCATCGTTGGGATCCAGGATTCAAGCACAATGGATTGCCGAGTGCTCGCGCTGGACATCTTTCGAGGTGGCAAGCCAAAGAGACGAAAGACTACCACGGCATGTTTAACCACGACTACTTTGTCAAGTGGTTCAAGCAGCTGTTGGACGAATTGGATGCGTTTTCTGTGACGAACGCCTACATCGTCATGGACAACGCCAAGTACCATAAGGGCCTCCCGATTGGCACACCAACAAGTCGCCAGAGCAAGAAGGTCCTTCTGGATGCGTGCCGTACATATGGAATTGCAGTGGATGAGAAGGCGTTCAAGAGCATCTTGTGGCAGCACTTCAGCGACCATAAGGCAACGATCAAGCCAGCAATCGTGCAAATGGCCACCGAGAAAGGGCATACTGTAGTCTACACCCCACCACACCACTCCGATCTGCAGCCCATCGAATTGGTTTCGGCCATTGTGAAAGGCCACCTGGGTCACAAGTACACTGATGGTACAGGGTTGTTAGAAGTGAAAGCACGCCTTCAAGAAGCGTTCGATGTGTTGAAAGCCAGCTCTTTCAGTGGTTGCATTAAAGTGTCGGAGGAGAAGTTACAGAAACTTCATGACCACCTCAAAGAAATTGATGCATTTGAGTCCGATGAGGACTCATCAGCGCGAAGCAGCAGCGACAGTGATAATTAACCTGCATAAACATAAACATCCGAAAATTCATGCGTACCATTTTATATACATTAAAAAGGTCACTTATACTTGCTATTTCAATAACTGCCCAAATCAATATGATTTTGTAAAAGTGACTCGATGCTGTCGATGACTGTCAGTTTATTCAAGCAAGTGGAATTCCTCCTCATGTGGAAGTACGTAATTTAAAATACCCTATTCTCACATTATTTTATAGGTATATACCAAATAATACCAGGCTTGAAAGAAACAACAGCGCGATTCTTTCAATTCCACAACTTGTTTTGAACGGGTTGTCTACCATCTTGGAAGAAAAAGGTATTGGTGCGGGCAAAATAACAAAAGAAGTCCTGAAAGCAACGTTGATATAAGCTTTATCGACAACGGTAGCCCCTCCAACTCAAAGTCAAACCGCTGCCCCTGGAAATTCCAGTACAAACCCAACCAATCAGCCATTTGAATGGGGTGGCACATTTCGTCAAGTACCTGAGTCGTTTGTTTTGCCGAGCGTCGACGTTGCACTGCGTGGCGGCTGTGGTGGCTTGGAAATCCTAGCATCCGTGTGAGATCATACCGTAAACTTCTGCCCATTGACCTGCCATCACCGTCAAGTGGCGTTCTCAGCATGGAATATGCTGATGGACAAAATGCAAGCCCAATACGAGCTGTCAGCAGGACGAAAGTTGAGATCAGATCCTACTGAATTCGATGCTGTGGAGGCGTTCGCCATGGCCAAGCGATGCCTGGACTTTCTTGACGACCAGTCTACTCGTAAACGCCACCGGCGTGAAGGACAGCTAAAGGTCCTCATAGTCTGTAGGCTGGTTCACGAGCATCATACCTCGGTGGGCCGGCAGCAGGCACCGTTCAATATGCGCGCGAGGTCGTCCAATGTACTTGTGTAATAGATTACTCTTGCCCATACTTGATACGCGATAGTACCTCGTATGATGTTGTGATGATGGGGACGTGGAGGGTTTCATGTCGGTGGATGGGGTCTGTTTAGAAAGTGCTGTGAACAATTCACGAGGAATGGCTTGATATAATTTGACCTTGCCTTCAATCTGTTCAACCTTGCAGTTTGCTTCATGTGCCCACCAATCCTTCGTCGAGAGATGCCTGACTTGAACGACAACGTAGTCAATCGCAGCTTCAATTTCCTCGCACGAACGTTTAAAATAGAGACCTCGAATTCTGGGCAGAATCGCTATCGTAGAAGTATCTGCTTGGCGCACCGCTCACCGTCCGTGAGCAGGTGTACCGCCATCGAACACCTCAGCGGTTGAGGTGTTCGATGGTGGGGTCGCTTTCGTTGTCTGCTACTGTGATCTTGTTATCTTGTGATACATAACTGGACGACAATAGAGAGGTTTCGCAACTGATCTTCTTAAGTCCAGAATTGCCTGAAATCAATTGTTTTTAGAATTATATACCAGATGAAATGAATAGAAAATAAATTTTGACAGTTCATACCTCGCATTTTTATGCAACATCAGCAGCGCCTTGGCCATGGTCCTGCGACTCTTGTCCACGCGCCCCGAGGCGTGGAATCGTACGCAGATTTCAGTCAAACTTCTTGGCCGTGTCGAGGATGGTTCGACGTGGCAGGTATCCATGTGACGACACCTCAAGGAGCATTTCGTAACCCGCACGTCGCTGCTATGGGGACAGAGCCTCTTGCCTCGGTGTGGGACAGCAGGTTTCGGTCGCAACAAGCGACAAAGCAGCATGTTAAGTGGCATAGGTAGGTGTGTAGGACAAAGTATGCAGTGTTTGGTTGATGTCAAATTGTAAATTGAATGCGCAGCGGGTCTTAAGCCCCTGGGCCCGACTGACCCGCCTCCTTTATCCCACCATAACTTTTCAGCAAAAACGATCTAGAAAGCGCAGAAATAGGCCAACCAAGACTGATGTCTTGCGCTTTCCAATGCACCAATTAGCACGCGCTAAATCGTATTTTTAGAAAAATTCCGCAAATGAGAAGTTGGATGTGACAACTATTGTGCGCCAGATTAGTAGTATATTTCACATGTTGTTCAATATATATAAAAAATGATGTTCCGTGTATTTCGATTTTAGAAGCAATTCAAGCAAACCAAGGCACTGCTTCATCAGGCTCTAACTTCCATGTCACCCACGTTTTAGGCAAGATCGTAGAACAACTCAAGCTAAAGTTTAAAACGCTATCCACCAAGTGCGATTTAATTGATTTGCGTCTAAAATCGAAATAGATGAAACATCATTTGAAATATATTGAACAACGTGTGAAATGTACCGGCTATGGGGTGACATTTACCAGACATAAGACGAAATATGCAACAACGATGTAGGGCCTGGACGAAATATATCTATTGCTTGGCGAACGGAGATGGCGTGAATCAGTTGTGCGTCGGACGAAATATACCGGAAATAACCTGAACAAGCCCAAATTTTATCATGATCGTTCAAGTTGAACATTGGAATAAATTTATTCCAAATCGTCCAAGTAGTTTTCATTGGATAAAAATAATTGAGCTACTTGGTTAAACAAACCTATGACGCCGTTTCCATTGCCATTCCAGAATTTCGACAGTCGATGACAGACCGTGCCGCCGCCAGAACGCAGGCATGGACCAAGCACAAGCTGGAACATCGGTGAGCACGATCATCCTTCCATAACATTAACCTAACGGTGTGCTCGAGTTCTGTCGTCGCTGTGCAGTCAGCCCACCACCGACCCGTCGCAGATGTGCCGACCCGCCACGAAAACGAATCAATCACCATGGTAAGAATTGGAATGTGTTTGCTCGTGTTGTGTTGGTATGTATGTGATGTATGGTGTCGTAACCACTTTTTAGCTGGCGAATCTGGTGGATTATGTAGGACTGTGCTGCGCGACGGGAAGGCCAGAGCGACGACACTCAAGAAGTCGATGTTGTGGCGCAATGGAAGCGCGCCTGCTTGCAGGAGGTCTGGGTTCAATTCCCAGCAACGTCAATCCCACCATGCACGCGATTGCACGACGCAAGGTAGGCACATAGTAAGCGGTACCGTACTGGTACCTGTTGATCCTTCGCGAATGCCATTTATGTCTGAATGTGTAAACTCCAATTCGATGCGCGTTGAATGTATTATTGTTGTGCTGCTTGATTATTGGATTTCTTCGCCTTCATTACAGTTCTACTATTGTATCCAACTCGTCTATTTGCTCATTTGCGTTGTATGCGTGCATAATATCTACAACATTGAACACTACTGCTCGTTGGAAGCCGGTGTACGATGAGCCGGAGGGGATGGCCGGTACTGTGTGCTCCTTGCTTGTACTGTGTTTGGTGCATGTTGTACTGTTGTGGTCTGTTGCGTTACACTTGTGGCATTTATACGTTTTGCCCTGATGTGTTTCCCCTCGACTTGCAATGCGGCGTTTCATTGGTCGGTCAACTTATCGATAGAGTGGAGGTGTCTTGACTTTTGCGTCGGATACAATATCCTCGTAAACAGGCAGATGTACGGCCCAGGTATGCAATACAGTACTCTGCCACACTGTATGCACGGTCGTAGGCTTCAAGGAGTTGAGCCATGTTGTCAGTCTCCATCAACACCCGAATTAAGTGGCGGCAGGGCAGCCCGGTTTAGTCTCGTTCTACACAAGTGCACAACAGTTCACTCATAACCACTTTGCGTTTTTTGGACTCCCGTGATGAGTGGTATACGTAAAACACGTCGTCACTTGATTGGATAACCTTGTACGAGGGTGCCAACGACTTCTCGACTTCAACTTTGCCAGACGCATAGGGTGTGACAACGAGTCCCTCCACCGCCCACTCTTGCGCCAGTTTACTTCTGTTCGCTACGTCCCTGGCACACTCGTCCATTGAGATTAGCACCGCCTGGGCTGGTAAGGACTGCCTGCACTTCTTCGGAAGCGCTTTGTTGTTGTCGGATTCAACGAAATTCGTTGTCCTGCAGTTGTACAGGCGTCTGCGGCTTGGGTCAGTCGACGAAAGCATGTTGGCGTACACTACCCACTTTACAGGCTCAATCGACCTCAAGTACGTAGCCACAGGTGCACCAAACAAGCTCACAATGCGATCCAGACACCCGTCATATGCCGACACAGTTTCACTGGCTTGGAGTCTCCACACACAATGCTCAAATATTTGGCCAGCAAGGCCAAACTTGCTTTTGAGATTGCCAATGATATGCCGGGTGCAGAACTTCAAACACACTTGCTGACCCGTTCGGGACAAAACGTCGGAAGCAAATTGCGATTTTCCGCGGTCAACAAACGTGGCGCACTCAGCCAAGTTGGCCCCAGCTTGGATGCAGTTTAGGAAAAACCAGTGATAGTTATCACTGGTTTCCTTGGCCACAACACCGAGGGTGATGGGGACGTTTTTCCCGTTGCCGTCGCGACCGACCAGATTGATAAACACCCCGTTGTAATCCTTGTGTTTGAAGTGTGCGCCATCGGACCCAACGAGCTTCAAGTTAGCGTGGTGGGCATCAGCGTACACTTTTCCGCACACAAAAGCCCGATAAAACCGACCATGGGTGTCAGCTCGAAATCCACACGCGACCCAGGATTGGCTCGTTCAAACGCCAACAATATGGAAGGTAATAGAGAGGTTTTGCAAGTGTCCGTTCGCGTTCGCGTTCCACTTTGCTGCCAAAACCGGAAGTCGACCTGTTAAACCTCATATGGAACGCGAACGCGTACTCTTAAATCTGATTGCCAATCCGCTTGAAGTGTACATCTCACGGACTGGCAGTCCGGTCTGCTCCGTGATAACTTCATATGATTGGTAGTTATTGGCCAATCAAGAACATTGAGATTGTACCGGATGACTGGGATAACTGGGCGCTCAACGTAGCTTAACGCACATAGCACTAAGAAACGACGTCGCTGTGTCGTTGTTTTTACGAAGGGGGCAAGCGAGGACAGCTCCGACTGCGTGAGCACCATCGCTGACAAAGTGATTTCCTGCCTTGAATGAATATCCGAATAATATTTACTTATACGGATATTTGTGAGCAGAACGCGAACGCATTCGTGCAAAACAACTTTGTTTGATATTCCGTTCAAACTGCATCTGACACAAAAAGCATGGTTCGGAGCAGAACGCGACCGCGAACGGACACTTGCAAAACCTCTCTAATGTTGCAGTTGAACTTGCGACATCGGCCACATCGGTCTGGACGACTGCATCTTTCACACGGTAGACAACCGACCTTTTTAGCTCCAAATTCACACCTCCAGGACTTGGACGGTAGCAACAAGATCGCGTCTGGAAATTCCAGTGTTGGTCCGTACCAAATTAACAAGTGCGGGCAACATGGCTAGTTGACGCTCGGATGGTTTTGCCATGGAGGTGCACGAGTGTGTGTGGACTGACTGTAGCTCGGTTACGGAGTAATAGGTGCCACCGTGGTTAGGGAACAACGTACTTGGTTCCATGCCACTAACCTTATTGGCTTATATTAGAGTGATTTTGCTGTTGCAGTTTTCACTGTGAAATTTCGAGAAAATATCACAGGAAAAAGTGCTGTGCGAAATGTTTTTGCCAAAGTAAATTTACCTGTGAGCTGCACTCGCCTCCCATGGACGAAGGAAGCATACTGCTGACAGCAGTAGCGCTGCTCCTCGATACTTCTGAGCCGAACACGAGGGCGATACAAATTCCTCGAGGCAGGTTTAACCTAATGGGACAAACTGATGCCACGTGTGAGTTCCATTTCCGGTTCAGCAAAGCTGAGATTGAACTGCTTGTGGCGTTGCTTGAAATACCCGACCCGATGATCACACCCCAGCGCTATAATGCCTGTGCTGTGGAGGCTCTCTGCATTCTGCTCAACCGTTTGGCGTGGCCTCACCGCCTCGGGACCATGAACTTGCTCTTTGGCCGCAGCCGAGAATCTCTCTCGGTACTTTCAAACGGAGTCATGTACCACATCTACGATCGCTTCAAGCATCTACTCCGATGGGAAAAAGACCGCCTCGGCGCATCATGGATGGAAAAATGTGCTTCAGCAATACACGACAGCAGCGGGACCTCTCTTGATTGCTGCATCGGTTTCATTGATCGCACGGTCCGTGGCATTTGCCGTCCCGGTAAAGGTGTCCAAAAGACAGCATACAATGGCCACAAGGTACATAAGGATAAACCTCGCAGGCGTACGAATGCAAATTGATCATTTCTACTTGTAGAGAAAGCATGCATTGAAGTTCCAATCAATCACAACCCCTGATGGCATCATCGTCCATTTATATGGCCCTGGACCAGGGTCCCGACACGATGCTACTTGCTTGAGCGAAGCAAAATTCTTGCCGTTTTGTTGGATGTACTGGTGACTGACACGAAGCGATATGACAAATCTTCATACTTGCATTAAAGGCGGAAACCAAGTTTCAGACTACTTCGGTTTACGCCCCCCAAGTGCCGAAAAATATCTTTACGCCAAGGGTCGCTAGACAGAATAAACTGAGCTCATAAGATATGTTAACCATTTCAACATGAGAGACAACTTCAATTTTTGGTAACTAAAGATTTCAGCACTTCAAGAGTTCCGTGTAGAAACTCTAACTGAGCCTCCCGTTCACGTCGCTCTAAGGCAAACCTCGCCTCACGCTCCGCTTTGTCGAGTTCGTATCGCTTCTCATCCAATTCCAACATTTGTTGGGCAAGCATGTTGTTCTCATGCTGTGCTCGGACCTCTTCGGCCTTGACTTCGTTGGCTTTGGCCACCATCTCGACCAGAGAAGTAAGAACTACACCCACCTCCGCCACCCTCTGTGAACTGCTGCGGCTCTGTCTCTTGCTTGGTGGCGCGTCCTCGCACCCATCAACTTCGACCGCCTCCAACGACTACCTTTTCATGGTTGACATCGCCGCGTCGCGAATCTTCTCGCCATTCGTTTCGCGTCGCTCGTTCTGTTTTGCCTTTTCTTCCTTGTCCGTCTGCTTTCGAATCGATGCAGCATCAACCTAAACAAGTAGGAGAACGATTAACACCGTCTTGGATGACGAGTCATACCAAGTCGTGGATATCCTGGAGTAGCTGCTCGCGTTCCTCGTACTCTTCGTCCGTCCCAGATGCGCGGAGCGCGGCCATAGTGTCGGCGTGAAACGCCGTCATCAGGTCGTCAAATCGTTTTCGCGTGGCGTTGACTGTGATTCCATCTCCACAGAGGCGCTGGAGATGCTCTGTTACTTCCGTCCATCCCTTGTGGACCTCTCCGTGGGGTGCTTCGTAGGGCCGCACGTGTATGATCTCCTTCAGCAACTCAACATCCGTGCAACCCTTAAAGCGGAATTCAGTTTTGTGTCGTTGGCTAGCCTGCACCTCGGACTCGGTATCCTCTTCCATTGTCCAATGGTCACTGTTTCTCACAGCGAATTTTGTTGTCTCTGTGCGGAGTACTGACGACGAAATTTCTGGAACAAATTTCTTTGTGTGACACGCACAGTGATTTTCTCAGAGGTAAATTTACTTAGCAAAATCACTCGATTTATCCAATCAACAATATACAATACCTCTGAAATATAATAAAACTCTCAATGACTGATGAATGCTACGGGCGAATGTTGAGTTTGCAATATGCCCGCGAAATCATTCTAGTGCAAATGACACCTCATTTGCCAAACATCGCTGTCGCGCCTACCCACCCACCATCCCCTTGCCGCTCACCCACCACAATAGCCACGGACGGAGATGGAACTCCATGACCGCAGTCGAATCAACGACACCATACGCGCTGTCAACTCCAACCAGATGTCCACCAGAGCAGCTGCCGTGCTCTTTGGCTTTGATCGTATGATGCTGTAGCGGCGTGTCAACGCTACGGTTCAGCCTCACGCGGCAATGGACCTGACCCCGTTCTGACAGATGGTGAAGTCCGTGGAATCATTGCAGCCGTCAACGAGCGCACCCTGCACGACCAATGCTTCATCCGTGACGAGCTAGTCAACTTTATTCGTGGGTGCATTGAGAACAGCCAACATGAGCACCATGTACCCGACACCTCCCCTTCAATCACTTTCGTCAAGCAATGCTGTATGCTTTGCCCGCCCACACCTCCCACATCTTGCAGCCGCTGGACGTCTCTGTGTTTTGCCATTTCAAACGTCTTCTGGACGTTGGGTTGGTACGTTTTTGCGTGGAGAACTCTCGGTTTGCCGTGATCAGTGACATGGTGGCTGTGGCATCAACGGCGTTGGCCGAATTTCTTACAAGAACGTACATTGTCAGTGGTTCGAGATGACGGGCATTTACCCGTTGTCGCTCGATGTCATGACATCCAAGATTCCTGGGGACAAGCCTGGCACCAAGTCCTCACGGACAAAGATGCAAGCGACGGTACCAGTTGAAACAAGAGTTATTGTACTTCTGCGAACTCAAGGGATTGACATTGATGTTGCCAGGGTCCTGTGCATCAACGATAGCCTGATCCAAGAATTCACAGAGCGAATAAGTGCTCCAACAGCGATGACGTTTGGGTTCACGGTGGTTGCCTTATGACCTCCGAAGAAATCGCGACGAAGTGGCCGAAAAAGACCAAGAAGGTGGAACGCGAAGCAGAACTCAAAGTCAAGAAGAAGGTGTTGGTCCAAAAATAGGTAGCAGCAGCACATGCAAAGAAGAAAACTCAAGAACATCGTCGTGAAACAATTGAGCGCAAGCTCATGTCGTCGGAAGGTACAATTCGGCGCAAGCGGCCAATTTCGCAAAATGGTGAGGTAATTGAAGTACATCGAAGTAGTACTTTACAGTCCGCGACATTCATTTAAAACATTTCGTTTTTTACGGATAACTTCGCCAAAAGCGCTCAGATTAAGCTCAAATTAGCACCAAAACATCGGCCTTGATTGGCTCGATCTAATGGCGCCGATTTGACCGAGTAATCGCGGGAAAACTGCTTTTGGGGTGCGACAGTCACTTATGAACACAACATTTAACTCGTCAAAAATGTACCAAGATTCAATTGTTAGACAACATAAAGAACGCTAGTACTTCGTCTTTCCACCTTTGGCAGCAACCACTTGCAAACATCGCTTTGGCATGGACTTAATCAACTTTTCCAAGTATCGGCGGTCAATAGAGTCCCAGGAAGCAGAAATCGCGCTTTGAAGCTCGGAAACGCTTTGGTACTGCTTTCCATTGGGGTTGACCTTGCGCGCCAGCCACCCCCAAATGTTTTCGATTGGATTGAGGTCGGGCGAAAGGGATGGGTGGTTGAAAAGTGTCACCGACTGCTCCGCTAGAAAAACCGTGTGAATGCTTGCGCCACCTTGCATCAAGGTGAACGAGGGGCCATAGTGCTGGTGCCCAAACGGAAAGAGATAGTTGCCGAATGTGTCTTGGTAGGCATCGGCGTTCTGGCGGCCTTGCAAGAATGCCAACTGGGTGCAACCGCGGCCGGAAAATCCACCCCACACCATGACACTGGCACCACCAGAATTCCGCGTAAAGTACGTGTCCTTCTCGCGCCGTAGATCGTGCCAATAGTCTGGTCCGTCCAAGTTGAATTTTTTCTCATCGGACCAAATGATCCGGCTCCACTTGGGGGGCTTCAGGACATTCCGGGTCGGGTGCTCCATTCTGGCAACCATCTGGCGGGGAAGTAGGGACGGGGAATGCTTTCGCTTCACATACTTGAGGTGCTGGCACTTCTGGAGGATGCGTTGATAGGTGCGAACACTCAGGTCAACCGGAATCGCCTCGTTGAACATGCGGGACGAGCATCCTGTCTTGGATGCCTCGTTCAAAATTCGACTACGAAGTCAATCATTCAAAACCTTAGACACACTACCCTTGCTACGAGTTCCATAGGCCTCTGGGTCACGCATGTAGCTATAGATGACCCCGCGCGACCGTCCAAGCCTCTCGACAATCACCTTGACGGCCAAACCTTCGCCGCGTAGTGCATCGATGAATGCCCTCTCCCGGGCAGACAAGGATGGTCCCTTGGACTTGTTGTCGGCTACGATGGTCAAGCAAAGGTTGTTGGAAGTGATTACACGTCGGTTAGATATGTCGGCGTACCTGTGGGTGTCGCTCGAAAGTGAAAGTGACGAGTTCAATGTTGACCTGATAGAGGCGCCATTAGATCGCGCCAATCAAGCCGATATTTTGGTGCTAATTTGAGCTTAATCCGAGCGCTTTTGTCGAAGTTATCCGTAAAAAACGAAATGTTTTAAATGAATGTCGCGGACTGGATTATTGTTTGGATAAGCAATACTAGTAATTGAGTAGCATTAATCCGGATAAAGTGGCTCGGAACCCCTTTCAGCCTATCAATATTTTTAGTGTTCAAGACCAATTTGCTTTAAAACTAATGGTTTAATGTATACAATCTCAAGTCAAACAAACTAAGTTATGTGATGTGACTTTAAAACACTAATATAATAGCAATTTTGAGTTCAGGATGGCCTCCATCGAAAGTCCTTAAAAAGTGTCACGGAAGTATGCCCAGACGTAAAGGATCCCAGCAGTCACGATCCAAGGTTGAGGTAACGTAAAAGTCCAATTTAAGAACACTTTTTCCGAGACGCTGCCTTGGACGGCATGTAACTCGACTCGTAGGTATTATTAATAGATTATAATTCTATAATATTTTATATGAAGCTAAAATCCAGGCCTATTCGGGAGTTATGAATGCGATAAGATTCCTGTTATAACGTTAATTTGTCCAGAAACAGCTTAAAACAAGCCGTCCAATTTAAGGTGCACCATTTTAAGCTTAGTCTTTGTATACCCATTTGCATACTTTTTGGGCGGTTAGGTTAAAAATTGCCTTTGTTGGAATTGATTGGCTAATTCGCGTGCACCTTAACTTGAATCGAGCACCTTTAATTGGACTTTTACGTTAGTTTCAAGATTGGTGTACATTAGCTCATTTTATATCATACCCATATTAACGTGTCGCTCAAAATATATAACATGCTCCAAACACAGTACTAGCGAGGAGCACACAGTATTTAACGCGCATCGAATTGGAGTTAACACATTCAGACATAAATGGCTACCTGGCGTCGTGTATTCGCGTGCATGGTGGGATTGACGTTGCTGGGAATTGAACCCAGACCTCCTGCAAGCAGGCGCGCTTCCATTGCGCCACAACATCGACTTCTTGAGTATCGTCGCTCTGGCCTTCCCATCGCGCAGCACAGTCCCACACAATCCACCAGATTCGCCAGCTATAGGGTGGTTATGACACCATACATCACATACATACCAACGCAACACGAGCAAACACATTCCAATTCTTACCATGGTGATTGATTCGTTTTCGTGGCGGGTCGGCACTAGGGTTCACCTGAATGCGTACTGTGTTGTTGTACAGTACACCTACAGTACAAAGAGTACACATTTACCTTACGTCACGTGTTTCCTCTCTCAAAATGAATTATTTATGCATTCTGGCAATTTTGTGTGATGTGCTATGACATCCCTCCGTTGTGAAGAATAATGAAGGCGCCAAGTCATATCACATCTTCCTTCTTCCTTGTCATATCCTATCATTCTCGTCACGTCCGTGAAAATCAACATTATCACATCATTATCCAATTTGCATCGAATATCACAGCCTTCGTCTTAAACCCGCTTGCGGGGGGCTATCAAGGCCGTCAACTACTCCATCCTACGCCTCGGTTCCACTGTGGCAAAGTCCAATCCAGGGAATAGACCGAGGCAATGGGTTAACGGAGTGCTTGTTGATGGAGTACAGAGGTTATCCTTTGCCTTGGTAGACTAGACTTTAAGAATTGTGCTTCGAAAATATGCGAATTGGATTAAGTAGTAATTAATGAATACAGTACTAGTCTAAGTCTTGGTTTCATCGTCACTTTCGCCCGCATCGCGTTCTTGGCCCATCATTACACTGACCAAACTGCCTCGGGACAAATCTGCATTCATATACAACTGTACCAACTTCGTAACCTTCGCTGGACTTAACCGGTTTCGCCGCTTGGTCAAAATGAAGTCATAAATGCTCCAAACAAGTTCTGAGGCTGCTTGAGACGTTGGAACACTGAACACAATCCGAGCCACTGCACACAGGATGGGAAACATCGTTGAGCCCACTTGGTGCCAATATGTGATGGGTGTGGCGCATTGTTCGGTGAAGAATTTTGCCTTGTCCGACGGATTCTTCATGGCATCGACAAAATTTGCCAACTCTGTCCGGACAGCGTCGACATTTGAGCTGATTTGTTGTTTGACAAGAACAAATTCTTGTAGCAGACGGGCGTTATCATACAGGTCATCCTCGAACATCCCCTCACCAGCTCGGGTTGTTGGATCCAGAAAATACGCAAACCCCATGGACTCCGTGTGAATAAAGGCCCACTGGTCTAGCAACAGTTCTGTCAACTCGTCACTGGTACTCCAATGCGCCCGAAACTCGAGAAACAAGCGATACACGTCGGACAAACAACAAGTGTCACCCTCGAACTTGCCGATGATGCTGCAAGTTGGTCGCAACGTCGTTTCCATCGACTGCAAATTCGACCAAAACGTTGCGTCGGTGATAGCATCCACAAATGCAGCCTTCTTCACCCGAGAACCTGACGTGACCTTGAGGTCTTGGAATAAGGCCGTGTTGGCGAGCTGAGCTAGGACTTTGCGATTATCGAGGACGCGGGCAATACAGTTGTAGTGGGTGTACCATCGTGTAGCCACCACGGAGGACAGTGCGCGTTTGGAGAAAATTTCCCCGTCGACCAACAGCGTTTCCTGGATGCGTTCAAATCGTTTCGTCAAAGCATTGCGGACTTTGACAAAAGAAGTCACGTCCCAGGCACGCTCCAGTGCGTTCGCAAACACCTCCAACTTGCACACATCTTTTATCAACAAATTCACTGCATGAGCAGCGCAACCGTTGCAGATCAAACTAGGGTACTTCTGTTCCAGGATTTTCCAGGCACTCTTCATACACGCGGCGTTGTCCGTCACAACACTTCCCACTTTGGAAACCCCGATGGACACAATAGCACGGTCGAGCTCTGCAGCAGTGTTGACACCGATTTGCGAAATGTCGTCCGTCGCGATGGCTTTCACAACACTGGTCTAGCTGTTTTCAAAGGGAAAACGGCGACAAAGTTTACCATGTGATCGTTTCGCATTGATGTCCACCCATCGGATACCAAGCTGACAATGGGCTGGTTGTCCATGAAAGCGCTCATGGAATTCTCCATCTGAGCATGGGCCCTGTCCAACAGCGGCCCGGCTATCAACTTCGCTGACAGCGGCGTGTATGCTGGACGGGCCAAGTGCACAAAGGTAGCCAAAGCTGGACTGTCGGCAAATCGGAACGGGACTCCCGTCGAAAAGATGATGTTGGCAAAGGCACTGTCCAACTTGTTTTTCTCAGCCTTTGACACTCGATCCACCCAGTTTGGTACATAACTTCTCAACGTGGATGTCCCCACCAAGCTGCTTTGAACTACGACACTGGAGCTTTGGGAGTCATTTCGGGCGATGGCCACTCGCTGCCGCTTGGGTTCAAATGTGAAACCCTCCGGGGCTAAGATGCAGTTTTTGAGGTGGGATGTCCATCGGGCAGTGGTGTTTGGCAAAGTATGATTGCAGTATTTGCACTTGACAACTCGTGTCAAGC